CCCCTTCATTTTCCTACATGAACAGAATGATTATTTAACAACCCAATTAATACGGAGTATTTTTTAACTATATTTTATTTAAAAACTTACTACTTTTTTAAAAAGCTCCTCTGCTTTCTTTCCAAGGATCCTTATGCATTGCTTATCCCATAACACCAATGATAGATTCCTAGTGTCATCAATAAGATGGACTTTTAAACGGTACATGCTAAAATATACAAAATACAACTAACAATTTAATTAAAAAATGTACAAAGATTTGAAAAATTTATGAAATATTATTCATACCTCAAAACTACACCATGGCCTTTACAGAAAGTAAGGTTTTAGGCTAAGAAAGTAAGGTTTAGGGATGTGTAGTGTCTAAGAGTGGAAGGGTATATATAGCAGGAATCCAATGCTATACATGGACAGTTTCCCTGCGGGAACAGACTGATTTGGTGTTTACCACTTGTAATGGGTAATTGACATGTGCTAATGGGACCAAGTTACATTCTTTGTCTTGTAATTAAGTGATTTTAATGTATTTTTGCAGCAATGGTATACTATGGGTATGAAGCTGGATTTAGTTGCAGACTTTTGAGGCTATGATGATACACTATATATTTACTCTTAATGAGCATACTGAAATTAAGGAAATTGATCCGTATCTTGACGTGGCTCCATGGATGGCAGGAGCAGCCATGGCGTTATCATAACCTTTTTCTTAAAATGATTATCTAAATAGTGAATATCTGAGCTTCTTTATATAAGCTTCAAATGGTAATCTTCCCAAAAATACATTATCCTCTAATTCTGCCCTTATAAAGATAGTTATAGCTTTTCCACTTTATTGATTTCATCCTCTTTATAAGGCAATGGTATACTCTGTAAAATTCTGCCCCTAAAATGGTATACTTTAAAAAATTATGAGGCTGTGATGATTTATTTTATATGTTTTACCATTTTTGGTTTTTTGAAATTAAGGAAATAAAACATATCTTGGCGTGGCTACGGCCTAGCCAGAAGCAGCCATGACGTTATATCAAACTTTTTCCTTGTAATGAGTATTTAAATAGTGAAAATCTAAGCCTCTTTATAATACCTCATCGAAATGGGCATTTGTGAACTACTCTGGCTTGGTTTTATATAGTGGATTACATGCCATGTACTGAAAATGATACCTTGGTTTTGTCAAGGAGTGATTGTATATATTTCTGCACTTAAACACACTGCTACAATTCTGAAAAATATACCTGTGATTTGTTTTTTTCTGATTGTATATTTCTCTTAGGCAGACTGCTATAATTCTGAAAAAGATTGGTTTTTCTGATTGTACATTTCTCCAATGGAAACTGATTTCTCCATCAGCTTTTATGTATGTGCCTTATACTGGAATTACATAATGCTCATTTCAAACGTTCAAAGTAGTAAAATTTTGGTTATGAGGCCCTTTTTATTACATCATTTGAAATGCTTAGAGGATACTCTCTTGCCCTAGGTCAGTAAGCTCATGATATCAGGATTTTTGGACACTTCTGCTTGTATTTTTCCCTGGGTTGTCTGTGATGCTGGAATAATGTAAATAACAAAGAGGCTGTGATGATTGCTTTAAAAGTTTTTTTTATTTTGATTAGTGAAATTAAGAAAGTAATACGTAACTTGGCGTGGTTATCTGCTCGGCCAGAAGCAGCCATGGCGTAATTATTCTATTTCCTTGTAATGAATATATATATAGTGAATATCTGAGCCTCTTTGCAGTAGCTTTGAAATGGGCATTACACATTGATTTTTTCTAATTTTGAAATGGCTTTTGAGATGGCATATCCTGATATTGGAGGAACACCTCAAGTGACAATTCTGAAGATTCAAAGAAATTAAATTGGGGCAGTGACTGATTCATTGGGCCGAAGCTATTATGAAATTGGGGCAGTGTTGTAATTCAGGCAGTGGCAGTATCAGTTGTTTGTCAGTACACTTTTGTCCATAAGTGCATGTATATGTTTCTGGTTTAGATTTAATGTGGATATGCCATGTGTATCCAAGTAATCTTAGCCATATGATCAGAATTTTTGGCGGGAAAATTGATGAGTGCAATTAGAGCTGATTTTTCCATCAGCTTTTATATATATAGTAGATTTGTTTCCTAAACCAAATTTATAGTACCTGGTTTTAGGACTGTTTTTATTTCGGATACGTTATTGGATTGGTTTTGGGTTTTTAAACATAGGTTCTAGGTTGGGGTTTTGATTCTTGGTTTGGGGCTTGTTTTGGGGTATATCCTGCGCTGGGGTTTGCCTTTTTTGTTTTTCCTGGTTTTTTGGTATGGTTATGGTCACATTTTAGGTTGAGCTTTGGATTTGGGTCTGGTCTTTTCTAGGTGGCGGCCATTTGTTCATCAACTATAATTTCACGTATGTTTCCATGTATACACATGAGTCTGATTCTTAGTTGTACTTACTCGTTGGAACAACGAATGAAATTACCCAAATAGGGGTATGGGGACACCAAACTCCTAGATGTGTTTTACCAAATCGGGGACACTGAAGTCCCATATATTCTAACAGGAAAAGCATATTTCTTCGAGGGTACCTAACTCTTTTCCCATTTATTCAGCATAAAAAGATACATGGTATCAAAGAAAAATCTTCAAATTATGGCTGAAAAATGAAATGCTGTGGTAGATTAACAATTGCTTCAAAGAGCTTCTCAACATCCCCACAGTGGCACAATCCCATAGAACGTGATCTGAAGGTAACCGTTCCTTAACTTTCACCTTTACTTTCAACGTAGTT